TGTTACACTAAAATCCATCAGCCAAATGTTAAATGTCTGCACTGTGGTCGCTGACCACTGTCACATATATAGTTGCTTTTTTCATTTTGATATGTAGGAGAGCTTTACAGTAGAAACACCAGTAAACAACTTTTATACTATTAAAAGGCTTTTCTCCCTTCCTGAATGTTTTAATTGTACCATAGTGTTTTGCCCACTGAAGAAGCTTCCTGTGGGCCCTGCAACTTTGTTGCTAGCTTGAGGTTGATTATTGTGGTTGTATAGTTCACTGTGTGTAAAGTGTAGTATGAGTATGATTTAAATAGAATGTTCAGTTTTTAATATTAGCCATAGCACTGGTTAGTATCTCAGTAGTTTCATGAAACGTTTCCTGTATTCTAATCTATTTTGAGAAATTCTGTGGTCTTTTTTTTTATTGTGTCTTATAGTTCAAGTTTGTAGATTTTAATAAGCAACAGTTTTTAAAGATGCAATAAACTTCCAACTAATATTTATCCATCTTTCGTGGACCCGTAAACTGCATCTTTAAATCATAAATAAGTTTCCTTAAGTATCATACTTTTCTGATCTTTCACGCTTAGTGACAAGGAAGCACAAGAAAAATTTCAGTAGAATACAGTTTTTATTTTATAAACACTAATGTATTAAACTTGCTATACATTAAAGCAAATAATATATATTTTTATTTGAAATGTATATATGAATTGGATGTTATAACTAGTTGATGTTTTTCATTGTGTAAGAGGTATTTTCACTAAACAAGGTCAACTGGTTACCTCAGTATTACAGCCAATATAGTCCAAGGGACCATTTCCCCGAGTCTGTTGTACTTTATTGTGTGAAGTCTGCAATTTGTGACTCTTACAGCTGTTGATGAGGTGGGATGAGTGCACTTGCTTTCTGTGGCAATAAAGATTTTCTTCGCCTCACATCTTTATGTTGGCAGCACTTTCTGCACAGGACTTTCCACAGCGGGCGATACTAGCCTACTCTGCCGTCCGTACTTGATTATTTGGGCTAGGCTTGCGTGTGGACACAGGAGCTTATGTCTTAACTGGTGACTAATGTGACTGTTAGCGCTCCCTTCATCTCTGAAGTTACTTGGCAAGTGGTACTCGGTTGGCTGTTTGGTCTGCTAGAGAGAGAAGTTAGTTTATGTTGTTCTAACTTACAAGAAGTTATAAAGACATTTTAATCTCCACTATTTTTAACCAACTAAATAAATAGAAGGAACATTAGGATTTAACATTTAGCATATGTTACATATTTGTAAATATGTAACTGTGCTTCGGCCTCAGTGTTAGAGGCCAGGATAGGAGTGAAGACCACAGAAATACAAGCTATGACCCTTCCCTTTGTGAACACAGGACCAAGTGGATGGGGGCTAATACTGCCCATGTAAAATACAATCATTGCACTCATAAAATTAGGACAAGTAAGGACTCAAATCTGAGGGCATTCGGTATCGTGTAGTCATGGTATGGGCACTTCATGGGTAAAGGAAGCACATTTAGTGAGCGAGATGCAGGAGAGATTGGCCAGGACTGGAGCATCAACACTAAGCCCTGAGGTCGGTAGCAGGCCAGAGAGGTGGTGTGTGTCACTTTGAGCCTGCCTTTTTTGTTTTTCTTCTTAAAAAGTGCTTTTCCCCTTGTCCTTACTTAGTAAAACAACTTAGATAAAAGATGTAGAATTGGGTGATTAGGAGGCCCCTAGTACCTGCTGTGCATTTACAGTTATAGTTGACAATGTTGAAGGCTTATGATCTAGGTATGTGCACAGGAAGTTCCCAAACATGTCCCCTTACTTGGCTACTCAGATGCTTAAGTATTATTGAGGCAGCACCCGTTTGGTTGCACCTTCACTTAATGTTTCCTGGAGTCATCAAAAGAAAATCAGTAAAGGTATTAAGCTGATGAAACCAGGAGGGCTGTCACGTTTAGGAAATGAATCCAAGAGTAAATAGCTGAAGTTAGAATTAAACAAATATTTTGTGTTTGCAGCAGCTTGAACTGTATATCCAAATATGATAGTTCATGCTTAACTGAAAACCTCCTATGGCCCAGCCATGCATGGGTGGTATTTCAGGGAATCGGAGCTAACTTATTATCTGTGAATGTCCTCATAAATGAAATTCACAAATGGGCCTCCAAAATTAATAAAAGAATGATCCAATGCCCTGATGTTTTTATTGGAAATACCAATTAATTTCAGAAACCTTGATGTTAACTATTTAGCAGCCCTTTAAAGATAACTTTTATCTTCATAGAAATGAAAAAAAAAGCTAAATGCAGGGGCTAGGATTTTTCTGAGTATGCAATAATTAAATCTTCAAAATTGCTAGGCGTAGTGACGCACACCTGTAATCTCAACACTCAAGAGGCTGAGGCAGGAGGAGTGCTGCAAGTTCGAGGCAAGCCTGAGCTACATAGTGAGTTCAAGTCCAGTCTGAACTACATAGGGAGACCTTGTCTCAAGAAAACAAAACACTGGAGCCAGGGACTTAGCTCATTGGTTCTGCCGCCTGCCTGGCAAGCACAAGGACCTGAGTTTGATCCCTGGTACCAAAAAAAAGAGAGAAAAAAAACAACTTTAAAACTTACCTTTGGTTTCTGTCTCTACTGACCTATGAAAATGGAAAAAATGAAGGTGTTTTTGGTTTTTTGAGCAGAAATTTTAAATTCATAATCAACTCATTAAACTTCGAATCTCAAAAAGAAAAATCAGATCTATTTTACTGTGTATAAAGCTTTAACAGTCATTTTTAGAAGAAGTATGAATAATGGTTGGTCCATTGCCAGATTGGTTCATTCGGCTCCTTTGGTCTTCCACATTCTCCCACCTGCTAGGGTCTCCTAGGTCTCAGGTGTGGAGACAATGCTGGGTTGGGTTCCGGATCTCCTGGCCATGTCACATTTTCTGGTCATAATTTCCAAGACTGTTATTCTGACATCAAAGTGATTTTATTCTGAAGTATCACCCTAGTAATGTTAAAGGCCTAATTCCTACCAATTCATTTTCAACTAAAGGAAATTTTCACGACGTTTTTGTAACAATTGGGTAAGACCTTCAAACAAGAAACATCAGAAATGAATCACAAAACACTACTCTTAGTTTTTGGTTCAACATACCTGTGAGATGTTTAGTTATGAAATCATTTTACATTCTCTTTTAAATTTTAAAATATTTAGTTGGCAAATTGTGTATATTCCAGGGTACAAGGTGATTTGATGTAGATATGCATTGTATACTGGTTACCACAAATTGAGACACTTCATTGAGAAATTGCCTCTTAATTTTGTTTGACTTCATATTTAATGTACTTTACTTGCCTTCATTAAACTTTCAGTAAGGTGTTTAAGATAGTCTACATAGAACATATTTCTGCATTGATATAAATTGAAAGAAATCTAAAGACCTACAAGGGTAAAATTCCAGAATTTTTTTTCTTTACAGTTGCCCTCTATTTAAGGTTTCCATTGTACCTCCTCGTAATCTCAGAGAAATAGAAATAGTTGAATGCTGCTATCAAAACGTGGTAAAATGCAGGTTAAGTTATGGCATTGGTTCAGGATGGCAGTGCCATACAAATGCTAACAATAACCCACTGATTTTTCTCCCATCAACTTATGAAGAATGGCGAATTTTCAGAGTGTCCTGGTAGTCTAAACAATATGATAATCAGGCCAGTTTTGCAGTGGGTGAGCCCAGTGATGGTATAAATTAGATTGTACTTCATATTTACACATTCTGAAACCTTATGAGTCATCCTCGCATTAAAAATTTGCACCTCATAAATTTGTTTAAAGTACCGTGTTCAACACCCACACACAATCTTAAGCAAGCAAGGCCATTGTGTTAGAACTCTCACAGACACCCGATATTGGCAGGTCACTTAGGCTTGAGTATGTAGGAAGATATTTAAGTAGTGCATATGTAGGCGGAATCTTACGGTAACTGGCTCGGCAGAGGCATTTTGCAATTTTCAGAGACTACTGTCCTCAACTGTGAACTGTTAAACCAAACATCTGTGGTCTAGCACCATACCCTGCTATTATCCTTCCCAGAAGACAAAAGACTTCTTTGGTAGTGTGTTCTCACACTGCAAACCATCCAGAGTCTCGTTATTTTAGTTAATGTTTCCCCCAAAAATACATACTTTCCACCCTTTCGTCCCTGACAACATCTAAGGAGATTTTCCATTAACAGTTAAAATGAGCTAGATCATTCGTTTCCATTCTGAATTCAGCCAGTGTTTCTATCTCCAGCTATGTCATGTATCCAGTGTCTGAACTTCTCAAAAACTAGCTCTCAGATTGCACCATTAACTGACAAGAAGGTAACAAAATAGTTTGTGTAATGAAGTAGGTATATCACAGATAGAGCTAAATACGTCAATTCTTAGGGTGTTAAAGGACGGTTTCCACTTACAGGTGAAATAATTGGAGGTTACCTAATTTATTCAAAAAACAATGTTAATATAATATTTGCAAGTGAGAAAATAATCCCATTTCCCAAGTTTTTAAGCATGTATATGATAGTTGGGTTGTAAGAGATAAGTCAGTTTTTTCTGTGGTCACTTAAAACACAGAAACCTGTTCAGTCTTGGGAGGCAAATGATCTAACTGAGGCTTAATATCCTTAATCTGCTAGTATCTGCAGTAGTGTCATGTATCACAACTTTACATTTAATGCTCTGCAATATCGGGAGCTAATGTCACCCCTGTTTTGCAGATAAGAACATAGACATCTCAAGAGATCAGTGAGTTATACTACTAGTAAGTAGGAACTTGAGCCAGTGCACTTGTCAGATGCCACAGTCCCTGTGCATCCTAAACTCCCAAATATCCTTTAAACTGCATGGCCTCTTTGCACTGCACACAGACATCTTATACAGGAAGCGCTTTATTCAAGTATCCACACACATGGAAACAACTAGAGCTTATGTAAAAATGTTGATAACATAGCATTGATTACCTGCTTCATTGTTAGTATTCTGGATGCCAGCAAAGGCTCCCTAAAGGAAGTAAATATTGAACCATTCTGAAGGCAGGGGGATAGAGCAAGGAAGTGAGAGGCTTCACACTACTTTGAGGCTGGTCCATGTGTGGGAGAAGAGACACCTTCCGGTACCATCAGAAAAACTAATGGACCAGGGCAGAAAATTCAAATAAAAATTTAATTAGAGATGAAATATCTACTAAATTAAATTATTTGAAACTGTACAAAGTTTTAATTTGGGAGGCAATTAGAAGTGTTTGAAAAGGGCAGTAAAACAGTACTAATACGAATTACATCCTTGATAGAAGATGTTCTAAGAAGCTCCACAAGGCTTGAGTCTGCCTGGGAAGGAGTGACTAGTGACTGTTGTGGTTGTTCAACCTTTAGATGGTCACACTGAATTTGAGCTGCACAGAATAAAGTTCAAGAGGAACCAGAGTGAAGAGCATGTAGTTAATTCAACAATGATTCAGCATACATTTGTGAAGCCACCTGCCTACAACTAGCCAGGCACAATGTAAGAAATGGGATACGGACATCTTAAGACATCATCCCTGCCCTTGAGAGGCACTCACTGTCTACAAGAAGATTGTCATTGATGAAGAGGCAGCACTATACGGATTATTTGTAAGAAAGGAGTATCCGGACCAACTGGATGAAAATTACCCATGGTTATGACCCTAGCAAAAGGAAAGGACAGTAAACACCATATTCCAAAAAAATTCAGGAAGGAAAGAGTTGATGTTCAGTGTTTTGTTTGGGATGGTTCCATTTTGAGGTTTTGGTACATGTGAGCAGGGCTGCCTTGCAGGCTGCGAGAAATAATGGACAAAAAAGAATGTCCAAGATCCACGCTAGAATTGAGGATTTTTGAAAAAAATTTTTTTTTGGTACTGGGGGTCGAACTCGGGTCCTTGCACTTGCGAGGCA